CCCCCTACTCCATCACCTTCTCCCATCCTCCTCCTCCTCCTGCCCCCTAGCTACTCCTCCTCCATCTCCGTCTTCATTCGTTCGATCTCCATCTTACCTTCTCTGCTCCTCCTCCTCCTCCTGCCCCCTAGCTACTCCTCCTCCATGACCGTCTTCATTCGTTCGATCTCCATCTTACCTTCTCTGCTCCTCCTCCTCCTCCTGCCCCCTACTCCTCCTCCATGACCTTCATTCGATCTCCATCCTCCTCCTCCTCCTTCTCCTTCCCTCCTCCTCTTCCTCCTGCCCCCTACTCCTCCTCCATGACCGTCTTCATTCGATCTCCATCTCAGGGGCAGGTACGTTTATGTAAACACAGGGTACATATATGCTGAGAAGATACAGGTCTGTGTCTGAGAAGATACACTTGTGTATACATATACGTACCTCGGGTACATATCTGTAGTACTGCTGAGAGGGTCTATGTCCCCTAGGGTACTGCCGAAACGTACCCTGGGTACGGTACCGGTACCCCTTTAGCTGCAGTTTGGAGCTATGGAGTGAGTCACTTGTGTGACTTGACACTTGTTGACCTCAAACAAACTTAATTTCTCGAAGTTACGTACAGTGAGCAGGGCAGCGCACCGATGCTGCGGCCCACGTACAGTGAGCAGGGCAGCGCACCGATGCTGCGGCCCACGTACAGTGAGCAGGGTGGCGGCCCGCCACACCTTAGTAACATAGCTGCGAACAGCAGCGGCGGCCCACCTGCTCCACAGGAGCCGGCACTGTCCAGTCCCCCACCTCACTACCGACAGATCGGTCGCTATGACGACGGAGGCTATGCGGACAGATACCCATCCGATAACCGAAATCGGTACAACCACCGGCCAGCCGCCGACCGCTATGACCAGTACAGAGACTACTCGGCACATGCGAGGGAACCGCAGTGGCAGCAGAGTTACAGGAGCGAGCATCCGTACCAGCGCAACGATCCTTACCGACCTCCGCCACCCAAACGCTATCCGCCCCCGCCGCCGAGCCATCCACATCAGGCATTCTACTGAGTGCACTGACTAAGTGTCGTACAGTTGGCTCGAGGACTGTGTAGATGAGGTGGCTCAGCCACCGTTTTGCTGAATGTGTATGCATGTGGGAAATGCACTGTGTACGGATGTACTTCGTGTTAGGGTCAGTGTAGTGGTACGCTGTAGGGTTCAGGTGTTCAACCACCGTGTCAACATATGCAAAACAATTCAGTTAACTGTGTGTCATTAACCATTCAGTGATGTACTGGTTTGCATGTGAATTCAAGTTCTCATGCAGACAGCTGTCATCTAAATTTAGGTTACATACCATTGAATTTTGTGTACTGGACTGGTCATTAGGGAAATCATTCATGCATGCCTAGTGTGCTGATAGAGTGAAGCACTACAAGGTTTTCATTCTGTTCAGATTATACAAACAGATAAACAAAATGGGCTTCACCCACTTAAAATTTCCATGTTTTTTGGCTAGGGATTGCACTTGGTAGCAGAGAATGCGATAGTCGTGTAGCAAGTGTGTGTAATGCAGAATTGCCTAAAACTGGAATTCTACTGCCTTTCACAAGTTCAAGTTTCACAAATTAGCCCTAACCCTAACCCTAGTTGCATTCTTCAAATCCTATGCGGTTGCATAAAACCTTTACATCTGACTGCAGCATCATTTTGTGTGTACGTGCATGTGACCAACCAAGTGAGCATATGAGAGAGAGAGAGAGAGAGGTGCTCAGAAACATCTCTTGCTGTTTCTGATTGTAAATACCAAAATGTAGATTCTAATTCTGATTTTATAGTTACGTTTTAGCACAGTAAGAGCACACCACGGAATTGTACGGCTATTGCGAATCATGCTCCCGAATAGAGAAAAATTGCAGTTCTGTATTTTCCTACGATCCTTATGTAATATAGCTATAGATGCAAGCTGATTGCTGTTCCACATGATATAGCCACAAATAGTCAGGTGATTATTGGTCCATTTCTTAATGTTATCAGAAGTTGTAGTTTGGATGAAATGTTACATGGACAGTTTGTCGTTAATTAGTTTAAAAATTCATTTGGTGTATTTCACACACCTTGTGGTCATCCAGCTGTATTAACGTTAAGCAATAATGCTGGGGTTTCAGTTGGAAATATTTCTAAAAGCAGTTGCTAAGATTTTAAGAATATAAAAGGTGTGTAGATTATGTGACCTGTTTTGCATTGTAGTTGTTTTCTTGACTACATGTGTACGTTTCTCACGGTGTACATTTATTGGTAACGTAACGTCCATAATTTTGATGCTCAGCGTTCTTCAGCACATGTACATGTAACTCTTATTTTCATGATTAAATCCAATTGAAAACAGTATAATCGGGTTTATCACACCGCAGTCTCATTTCTTCAGGAGTGTATAATAATAGTATATTATTAGGCACTCCTGATATCATGCACCATAGATTCTTGGTTATGACTAGTAGCATGAGTTACTCACAGCATGAGTGTACCTATGTAAAACAGCACATGATTTTTTTGTTTTTGTTGGAATTTACCAAACTCCTAATTATTTGGCAAAATGTTGAATGAACACTGAAGGTACAGTACTGTAGTCACTTGAAGCAGTTCCCGGAATACCGTTGCAGGGCTCATATAGACTTAATTTGTTCCGTGGCAGACTGTCTCTCTACACTTTGTTAATAATCTATCAGCCCTTAACAATATTTACCAGTCCTTAATTCTCTGGAGTGTCACTGGGGGGCTGAAGCCTGAAGCACCATGGCAAGCAGTTACTGAAGCTGATAGGGTCTATGTCCCCCAGGGTACTATCGGAGGGTACCCTGGTTACGGTTCGATATATCGGAAAGTACCTCGGAGTACTATACGATATGTCGCTGCGTACCCTGCATTGTCCCACCGTACCCTGACTTTCAGCCAACTGATCATGAAAATCATGCAGAACCATATACGTAATATGGTTTTGTAGGAAAATGATAATTTTTAGTGGATGACAACATTTTACGCTTCTCCCCTATACTGGTGGGTGAGGTATTACTGCCGCAAGGTATTGCCGCCGTCACGTGCATATTGAGTTTTTTATATTTGATGTCAATATCAAACCATTTTTATTTATGGTAATGATAGTATTACAATGATAACATTAAACTACGATACTACTAGCTTTTATTAATTTATCTAAATTATTCATATTAATTGATGATTCATCAATTAATCTAAATATTTTTGAGACTGTGAAAGTCAGGGTACGGTGGGACAATGCCGGGTATGCAGCGACATATCATATAGTACCCCGAGGTACTTTCCGATATATGGAACCGTACCCAGGGTACCCTCCGATAGTATCCTGTGGGTCATAGACCCTATCAGCGTTACTGAGTTAGCTGCTCATGAGTCATATTAGAAGAGTATGAGCGGGTGGGTGTGGAGGCCCATTTGAGATCATCTGAGATGCATTCTGAGGCTTGCTACTTTCGTAATGGCATTTAATTTAAATAATCATTAGGAAGCCTGCTCAATTTTTTATTTGCTGGGATAGCTGGGATCATTTCACATTTGCACAACAAAAAGGCTACCAGCACTCACCCAGGCATGAGGCAGCAGGCACTGCCACAGTTACTAGTGAGTCCAAACTCCAACGCTCTCGCTCGGGCACGTATCAGAGCATATATAATTCGATGCACGTATCTAGCCCGACCAGGCTGTGCGACCGATTGTCTTCTAACCCTAGCAAGACCGTTTCTTGGAGCTAGCACGTATCCTGAGTTGTACCATAGATATACACAACACTGTGTTGTGTATCATGGTTCGCACAGTCCTTGAAAAGTCCTTGAATTTGAGGGGAGTCCTTGAAAAGTACTTGAATTTGAGGGGAGTCCTTGAAAAGTACTTGAATTTAGTAAATGTTGATTTTGTGCTTGAAAAGTGCTTGAATTTCATGAAAATGTCCTTGAATTTTTAGAAAGAATCTGCCTGTAATAAAAAGAAATTTTGTACCATCAATAATGTGCAAACCTCAATAAAAATTGCATTAAATGAGCTTAAAAAGCTATAGACACGATAGACAGTTAAATGATGATCACAAATTACAGTAAGTCAGTAAAATCAGTCAGTAAATCAAGGTATGTTGTAGAAGTGACAGTGTTTAGAAGGGTGATCCAGGTAAGTTTTAGAGGTGACAATGATGCAGTGATTAAGAATGGGGTTATTAAATTAATCCAGGTATGTTTTGTTCTGTGTACGACTTCCGATAAAATGTCTGATAAAATGTCCTTGAATTTCCGATAAAATGTCCTTGAAAAGTCCTTGAAAGGTCATTGGAAAAAATTTCAGTCCTCCTGTATGAACCATGTATATCTATGGTTGTACGAAGGGGCACTGCATGCAGTTTGGCTGAAGGGGTCGGGTATGTATCGGGTACTACAGATATGTACCCGAGGTACGTATATGTATACACAAGTGTACCAGACCTGTATCTTCTCAGCATATATGTACCCTGTGTTTACATAAACGTACCTGCCCCTGAGATGGAGATCGAATGAAGACGGTCATGGAGGAGCAGTAGGGGCAGGAGGAGGAGGAGGAGGGGAAAAGGTGATGGAGTAGGGGGAGGAGGAGGAGCGGAGAAGGTGATGGAGATCGAATGAAGAAGATCACGGAGGAGGAGTAGGGGGCAGGAGGAGGAGGAGGAGGAGGAGCGGAGAAGGTGATGGAGATCAAATGAAAGTCATAGAGGAGGAGTAGGGGCAGGAGGAGGAGGTGAGAAGGTGATGGAGTAGGGGGAGGAGGAGGAGGGGAGGGGAGAAGGTGATGGAGTAGGGGGAGGAGGAGGAGGAGGAGGAGCGGAGAAGGGGATGGAGATCGAATAAAGACAGTCATGGAGGAGTAGGGGGCAGGAGGAGGAGGAGGGGAGAAGGTGATGGAGTAGGGGGAGGAGGAGGAGGAG